TCAAGGGGCTCTGGCTGAAGCAGCCGGCGATGTCTGCCCCGCAGGCCCAGGGAACCTCCTGCAGCAAAGGGGGATGTTACTAAGCAGTGAAAGGGTTAAAACTTTGAGGCGGGCTTGTCTTTCATCCACCGCACCGCGGTCTCGAGTCTGTGTGTCTCTCTGCTGCCCCCATGCGACGGCAGCGGGGTCTGCAGGCTGGATTTTTGCAGAAGCGTCAATAGGTTTCGTGTCGCTGTGCATCTCGCACAGTAATAGCGGGCGGTGTCCTCGGGCTTCAGGCCGGTCATTTGCAGGAACAGCAGGTTGTTGGGGATGTCCCTGGAGATGGTGAATCGGCCTTTCACGGCATCAAGGTAGAATGTAGTATCCCCATAGAAATAAGAGACCCACTCCAGCCCCTTCCCGGAAGCCTGTCGGACCCAGCACATCCGGTAATCAGCGAAGGTGAAGCCGGAGGCTTTGCAGGAGAGGCGCAGAGAGTCTCCGGGCTTCTTCACGTCCCCTCCGGATTCTACCAAGATGATCTGGGGCCGGACCCCTGGGAACCAAGACGCGATAGGAACATTAGTATCAAAATATAAAATACAAAATCTCCTTCTGCTTCTCCAGCGTGTTTAGCTAGAAAATACCTGGCAAAGCTCCCACCACGAAAACTAAATAGACCCAAAATTCCATTTTCCCCGTTGCTGGGGGGCGGAGCTGGCTGGTACCTGCACAGACACCGAAGCTGCGGGGTGTCTCTCCGGGTGCAGCCTAGGGAGAGAGACACCGATTTAAACAGGCACCGGTCACCGCCATTTGCATATTCCCCTCCTTATCAGAAACACAAACGCCTTCCCTTAATGAACCGAGTCACTACCATGGAGTCTGCGGGAACTGCAGAAAGAATCTCCTTCCTCCTCCCTGTGCCTTTGTGCAGCGTCTGGCACAGCGCGGGGGGACCCGATTGGGCTCTCACAGCGCTGGGGAGATAAGGAGAAATGACGTCACATAGCTCGCCATTGACGTCTAAGGGTTGCCGGGGAAGGGAAATATTTATATCGGCGTTAGTGGCGTCGGCTCATGGTGCGAAGGGGAATCCGTGTTTCTTGTGAGCCCGGAGGTGCTAACATGTTTCGGTGGAAATTGTAGCTCCAGGCCTGGGGGCCAAAAGTGATGCAATGCAATTCGGTGCCTGGATCCGACAGATGCTCAATGAGATTCTTGCTCCTTCATGTCCCTTGGGCCACTCGAACCCCAGTTCGCACCGTGTCTGTAACTTTCCCCCGATCGCTTCCCGCTGCGCTCGGTGAGTTCGATGCGGTGAGTGGCCGATGCCGCTGGCCCATTTCTGGCCGCTCACCCAGACTGCGATGCGCTGCTGTTGGGAGGCTCTGCCGGCAGCCAGGAGCCCCCTGTTGCCCTAACCCGATTGTGCCCCTCACTCCTGAGCCGCAGGAGTCAAGAGGCCTTCGCAGGGGGAACCCTTGGAGCCGGTAGAATATCTAAGGTACAAACTGGGAAATCAGTTTTGATCTCTCCTGATTGGCTGTGGACAGACTGGAGCGGGGCTCTTGGCTTTAGCGGCCTTCCAGCCCGGCTGCTCTATTCTTAATTCCCTGCCCTAGGGAAGCGACCAAATCTCTCACCTCTGCTCAGGACGAAACCCTGAGACTAAGAGCCCCGCACCCTGGATGATCCGTGTTTGCTGCGCTTCTCCTTCCCCCTGCACCTGCCATACCCCAGGCAAGGCCAAATTTCTCCTGGGAAACGAGCCAGAATGTACCTGTCCGGATGCCCCGAACTCACATTCCTAAGCGCGTGTTCTTGGAATGACAGGAGGGACATGGAAATCAAATTACTTCTCCATACAGCAAGCAAAGGCAGTGACCGGAGCGGGCTTTGAACCCCCGGCTCGGTTTGGAGACCAGAACACCCAATGAGGGGACAGATAGGCCCTGGAGTGGCGGCTTTGTTAGACCACTCGGCCGCACTGACAGCGAACTCACATTCCTAAGCGCGTGTTCTTGGAATGACAGGAGGGACATGGAAATCAAATTACTTCTCCATACAGCAAGCAAAGGCAGTGACCGGAGCGGGCTTTGAACCCCCGGCTCGGTTTGGAGACCAGAACACCCAATGAGGGGACAGATAGGCCCTGGAGTGGCGGCTTTGTTAGACCACTCGGCCGCACTGACAGCGCCCGCGGGCAGTTTCTTTCTAGCTCCGTTTTCTTAAATGTTTGCGCGGCTCGGGAGTGGCCAACGTCCAAGACAGGGGCGGCTCTAGGCCCCAGCAAACCAAGCCCGTGCTT